TGTTTAAGTACATTTTGTGTTGTATTATTATTCCATGCTTTATTCAAGTTTCAACATCCTCTTAAAGCGCTTAAGGCAGTTTTGATCAGCATGATTTGGCATTGTTTCATTTGATCTTCATAAGAGCTCAAGAATGGAACATTACTACCACATCTACAGTAAAGCCTCGATAGACTCCACAACCGTTTACATGGCCTTGTGGATAATGGATTATTCGTCACCTTTATACCACAGACGAAACGTCACCAGCAATTCACTTTTATTTCGTTATTGCTATGGCAGATGCTCGGGCGAGTTACATTTTTTAGTGCCAACAAACTTGGACCTTCACAGCAAGGATACCCCAACATGCCGTGTTTACGGTGTCAATGCCTAACCCTGTTCCCCATGTTTGCCGTAGTCTCTGAATATGGAATCCAGTGAAGTTCGTAATATCTTCAATATCAGAGGTTGGCAGTGAAGATTCGGAGAAAGTAGCGGCTGTTAATTCTTTAAGTCTTCGATATCAGGTTGGCAGTGAAGATATATTGGGAGAAAAAACAAAATGGCTGTCTTTATACACGTCGGATTGAATATTTTGAGCTTTCTGATTGGTTAACCCTTTTCTTGGTGAACTATAAAATGAGTCAGCTCATTTTGGCTAGCTCACTAGTACAAAAACTATAACCCATTTTCTTTATCTTCCTTTGATTACAAAATAGTTCCACTCAAACAGCTTCTTCCCCAGTTGTAGAACAAACTCCCGTGATAATGCTTCCCTGACAACTACAATCTTGTTCCCTTTAACTACAGGATCAGTCCTCATAATACGCTTACTTTCCACTTCTTCTACTTAGAATCTACCACAGTAAACATCTACCTTGAATGGCTCTTGTGCCTTGTATTGAGTGAACGATCAATTTATTTTTTACAATGATATTCACCCTGTACGAGCCACTCGAGGTAGAGTGTTGCAGAGCAAGAGGGAGAGTTTATGAAGATATAACATTCAGCCCTAGATTTGAACAGGTTAACAGTAGTGAACGAGGAAGCATCGTCTTGGGAGTTGGTTCCACAACGCAGTGATTCGTGAGAAGATGCTGCTCGAGTGGGACACACATTTGGAACACGAAGTGAAGGAGGGTGGCTCGCTACAGGGTGCGTAGAATGGCGGTTCTTAGCCGTGAAGGTTAGAAATGGTGGAACTAAGGAGTGTAGTTCGTCTGAACACTTGCCATGGAAATAGCGATAGAGCAGCGAGAGTCCTGCGACGTTCGGTCGGTGAGAAAAGGGATTGTCGGGTGGAAAAATAATTCATCACCCACAAGGACGCGGAGACTCTGTTGGATGTTATCGAGACTGGAAAGTGAAGACTTGTAAAGGTATAGGGTAGCAGGAAGAGTCAGGTGCAGGGAACAGAGCATTCTTCCAGCATCTTTAGCAGTGAATCAGATGCATGCGTTCTAATTAAGGTCTGAGTTGAGTTTAAGTCTCAATAGGCGCTCACGTCACGTGTCGTCCCTGAGAAAACGACAGTTTTTCGCGATAGGTGAAAATTCGGGGTCCGCAAATAAAATAAGAAAAAAAACTTACCGAATTTTACAGGGGGTTTCAATGGTTCTGTGGGCCACATTAATACAATCCCTCAAAATTGCCAGAATATATATATATATTGTTGTGGACCCAGAATAGGTCCGAAAGAAAACTCCAACTCAGCAATTTAGGGAAAACATATTATTAACAAAAAGAACGAATACAAAAGTGTTGCACGTCCGACTGACAGCAAAGTACAGTAGTCAACTCGTCAACTATAGACAGCGATATTTAGTTACCCCCCCCCACGAGGGTTACATGTGGCACAAGGCCGGTTTAACGTGGGATCTCCGAGCCCGTAGGCTCGGCCAAAAATAATCCCTCTTTAAACCTGAATAAACGGGTTCAGGGTCAGACAACCTCCCCGAACGAGACTCTGCCCTTCGCCGGAGCCCCGTCCAGGTTCCTCTCCGCCCGAAGGCAGAGAGTTCGACTGTTTAGCTGGAACAGATCAACTGTAGACAGGGATATTTAGTTACTCCCCCCCCCCGCACGAGGGTTACATGTGGCACAAGGCCGGTTTAACATGGGATCTCCGAGCCCGTAGGCTCGGCCAAAAATATTCCCTTTTTGAACCCGCATAAACGGGTTCAGGGGCAGTCAACCTCCCCGAACGAGACTCTGCCCTGCGGTGGGGCCTCGTCCGGGTTCCTCTCCGCCCGAAGGCAGAGAGTTCGACTGTTTAGCTGGAACAGGTCAACTGTAGACAGCTCTCTTGAGAGGCATAATCTCCCCGTATATACAGTAATAGGACGAGTCCATTTAGTCCATAAAGGTAGGTCCCATAACACACACACACACACATACACACACACACATACACACACACACATATATATATATATATATATATATATATTTACAATTATTATATTACTGTATGGTGTTATATGAGCTTAAGAAAGAGCAAGAAGTGAAGATTGTGGTGCTATACAGGAAAAATAACGGTTAATCCTAGACTTGAGGAGGTCAAGATTGTAGTGATCGGAAAACGGCTATGTTTTTAAATTAATTCGCCCCAAGCAAGGAGATAATGTCGCTAAAACGAAAGGGGCTACTGGAAATGAAAGAGGAAAAGACGCAAAAACTAAAACAGAATGTCATAAGGACGTTTTTTCCCTTGACACCGCTATTATTTTAACTACCTTCACTCCTCGGCAATGTTTATTGTTTTAAAAAGCAATGATTAGAATTGTAATAAAACCTAGACATATAATGAAAGGGAATTTTTAAATTTCTTTTGATCTTGAGAACTGACAACAAAAATAATAAAACTTATTAGATTTTGTTCATTTGCTCTATTTATTTATTATATTATTTATTGGAATGGTTGGCAAAACATTGGCTAATTGCCAGTTTATTCAAACTTTAGGTAAATAATAAGTATTTCCTTTTATTTGTCGCATATATTTTAATAATTTAGTAAATGTTCATAAATTTATGAATAAAAAATTGTTTGCATACTTATTTATAAATTGGTAAATGATTGCATATCGCTAATTTTAATTGTATTAGTTTTTAGAATGTTATAAATATATAAATCATTTTTGTAAATAAACAATTTAATAAATAAATAGTGTTTAATATTTTTTGTTGTAAATTCTCAAGAAGAAAAAAATGTTTAAATTTACTTTCATATGGTTAGGTATGATTAAAATTCAAATCGTCGTTTTTTTTTTAAGCCAATAAATGAGTGAAGATAGTTAAAAAACTAATCGCGGTGTCAATGGAAAAACTCATCTTTGACACTCTATTTTTTTGCGGACACGAAGGTTTAATTTTGCCGAAAAGAGAACCGAATCCGAAAACCTAAACAGAGAACAAGGGACGCATCTTTACTCTTGTTTAAAATACCTGGGAGGAGTGTGAAACGGATGATAGACAAACCTATCTACTCCTGTTGGGGGCGGAGAAAAAAATAAATAAGGCCGAAACATAGTTTGAATTGTAAGAATAATTATATGAATAACAATTTTTTTTAAGAATAACAATGATTTTTCCGGATACATCTCTTACTATTTAATCCTTAGGTGGGCGAGATGGATTCATACTTTTCCAATGGTATTTGTACTTAAGGAGGTGTCAGTCAGTTAATTATGTGCCATGCGTGATACACGCTTAAGCGATCATGTATCTTTCGATACATGACTGACGAGGCAGATTTTTTCCCGCAGTAGGTTGCCATTTCTTTCTGCGGTAGATCAGTTGCCATCCAAGGCCAGTCTGTCCTGCTATTTACCCATAGCTGAGGAGGAGAAGAAGAGGATTCATACCTTTCCCAAGAGTATCAGCACGTAAGTGAATGTAATGGATTCAACTGGAAAGTCAGTCAGTCAGTTATGTTCTATGCGTGATAGACTCTTAGGCGATCATGTATCTTTCGATACATGACTGACGAGGCAGACTTTTTCTGCAGTAGGTTGCCATTTCTTTCTGCGGTAGACCAGTTGCCATCCAAGGCTATAGAACCCGGTCTGTGTTCGGTTATGTTCCATGCGTGATACACGCTCAGGCGATCATGTATTGCTCGATACATGACTGATGAGGAAGATTTTTTCCCGCAGTAGGTTGCCATTTTTCTGCAGTAGACCAGTTACCATCCAAGGCTATAGAACCTGGTCTGTCCTGCTATTTACCCATAGCTGGGAGGAGAAGAAGAGGAGGAGTCATACCTTTTCCAAGGGTATTAGCACGTAAGTGAATGTCATAGATTCGACTGGAATTCGAACCCGGCTCTTCGATTCCTTAATCCGAGCCACCATTCATTAGTCCACCGCAACGATCCCGTTTAGAATTCGAACTCGGATCCTTGATTTCCCATGCCAAGCCGCTATCCATTACAACACCCGCACATTCAAACTGGCTGTGCTAAAGGTCTTCTTTTGTACGTCATCAACAAGGATAATGATCAAGAAAACAGTGGGCGTCGAACTGGCTGCAGAAGTCTTCTTCTTTAGATCACAAACCCTAGCTCCATAGCATAAAATATGACAGAATAATCGGACACATTGTTAGTCGCTTGCGGAACTTAAACTCTGCCCTTGGTTAGAGTAATTTCGAAAATGATGTTCAATTTAATTAAATCTTCCGTCAATTTATCTCTGATTAAATAACTAAATAAAATGCTTATATTGTAAACGGATAATTAATATAACTCGATTAGGTATCAATCGTTCAAGCATTCTTTCTTGTACGAACGAATCTGACAAATTTAAACGTTTTATGGTCAGTATCAATTAATATCATTTCCGTGTGTGCGCGCCAGGGTTAACGTCTTTAATAATTTTGCCTTAAATAAATGTCTGGGGAAATATTAAAAAAAAAATATTCTTGTCCTTACAGCAAGAGAAACATACAAAGAGAATGGGAGATATTTCGTTTTTCGTTTTGAAAGATGAGAGTATTTTTTTTTTTATATATCCCTCATTATGTGCTACCCTTATTACGTTTTAACCAAACGACTTTCTCTATGTTTCTCTCTGTATATATATTTACTTTTTTTATTATCTCTCTCTCTCTCTCTCTCTCTCTCTCTTTCTGTCATGTTCTCTCACTCTTGCCTTTTTTTTTCCTTTTTTTGCCTTTTCCGACGTTCGATTATGTCGACCACCATTTTTAACGTTTTCAAACCTCTTTCAATATTTTTTGCAGTTCAATATTTTAAATTCCAATCAAAAAAATGTTTTTTCTCTCTCTCTCTTTTTTCATTTTCCTTCTCTTTCTCTTGCTTCTTTCGGGTCTTTAATGATAAAACCCTAATGGGCTCGAATCGGTTAAGTCAAAATTTACAAATTCTTCCAAATTATTTTTTTTTCTTTTAACCAAATTTTATTCCAATAGATGAGGGCCTCGAATTCTTCAGGGATTCGTCTCTTTATTATCATACAATGAGCCTCTTCAAGGCTTTTTTTTTGTAAGGAAAAAAAAAAGATAAGAATAAAAAGAAACATTCAATTTTTTCATTTGAATCTTTACTTTCCGAAACTTTCTACCAATTAGAAATCAAACTTCACAAAATTGTTAAAAAATATTTTCCATTATTAGAACGTAAAAAATAAACGCAATACAAATAAATTAGAAATATTTAAAATGGCCAAGCTCATCTCAAAAAATATCTAATCACTTTCAACTTTTCCCTTTACACTTTACATCAAAAACTGACGACCGTATTAAAGTAAGTTTGCAATCGCGCTTGTTATATTTTTCGTGAGAATAATATTCAAGAAATAGATTTGAAAGTTTTACAGTTTTCCTATTTGAATTTTTTGATGAATCCTAATTCTTAATTTAATGAAAGAAAAATCCCCTTGCAAATTCTACGGCTGTAAAATACTCGCGGGGATTCTTCTATTTTATCGTTAAATATTTACCCTTAACAACTTTAACAAAATAAAAAGTAAAAAAATGAATATTAATGCAGGTTATCATTTGAAGAAGTAAGGGGGTACAAAAAGAAAAGATTCAAAGTTGACAATTTTTTACATTTCACTGAAGCAGACGTTAAACACACGACAGTGTCATCGACGCCTCAATCTTACCTTTCTTTCTTTCTTTCTTTCTTTCTTTCACTGAAATCAATTATGACATGTCTTATGACGCTTTTTTCTTTCTTTCACTGAAAGCAATTATGACATGTCTTATGGCGCTTCTTTCTTTCTTTCTTTCTTTCTCTGAAATCAGTTCTCCCTATCTACTTTTTTCGGATCATTTTTTATTTCTTCTACTATCGCTCTCTCAAAATACTTTTTTATTACCGTCTTTCAATCTTCTTCTTCTTCTTCTTCTTCTTCTTCTTCTTCTTCTTCTTCTTCTTCTTCTTCTCATCATCATCATCATCATCATCATTTTTATTATTCTCGTCTTCTTAGCGTGTTTTGCTTTTTTATTCATTTTATTTATCATTTTTCTATATTCAACTTCTTTCTTTCTTTCTTTCTTTTTTTCTTTCTTTCTTTCTGTCTGTCTGCCTTCCTTTCTTTCTCTCTCGTTCTTTCTTTCTTTCTTTTTCTAAGTCTTTCTCCCTATCTACTTTTTTCGGATCATTTTTCTTTTTTTTACCGTCTTTTATTATTATTATTATTATTATTGCTTTTTTCTTTCTTCTTTCCCCCTCCTTCGTCTTTTCTACTTTATTCTTTTCTTCCTATGACCGGCTTCTTTCTTTCTTTCTTTTTCCAAGTCCTTCTTCAAATATTCAGATTGCAACATCCACTCAGACTGGAATCGATCGATCTGCCTTACGAGTCGAGCGATCGCATTTTATCCAAATTAAGCGCCCGTCCTCGGCTAATTACTGCTTAATTAAGAGGCCCTCGTTTGCTACGACGAAGGTCAACTAGTGCTGAGCAAGAGCGACTCTCTTTCAATGGTACGCGAATCACTAACTGCCACAACCGATTCCCGTAACCAAAAGGACGACCCAGCGGCTGGTGGGAGGTGGGGGGTTGCCAGGTGGGGGAGAGGGATTAACGAACGAACGAACGAACGAATAAAAGTAGTCCCTTCTCGAATACTTCAAAATACACCCAAACCCAAACCATTTTACAACCGTCACCCCCACAACCTCGTACTTCTTACTGACTCTTGAGTCAATAGTAGCTACAACGGAGAACCTCGCCATTACCTTGCCAATACTTGTCCAATGAATAAGCATCTGAAATCAAATTATATAAATGCTATCACTGTCAGCGACATTCAAGTCTTCGGTGTTGTGTCAAAGAATACCGTTTTCTTTCAAGGATAAAAGTCTTGTATATATCATAGAGCAGCAATGATGATATTAAATAGGCTAAGATAAGACATAAGGATATGAGGCTCTCTTAAAATATCAACAATACAGGTAAGATGGATAAACTGTCGCCATTATATTTTAATTTCGCGCATTCGCGTTGTTTGCTCTTTAATTGTCGACTTCACCGTATACTAGGGTCAGCTGGGCATCGTCTATGATAAAAGGAGCACCATAACACAATTCACTCCACCAGAAATTTGGAAAAGACATGGTGTACTGCTTGGCAATCGCTCCAATGTAAACATTTCAGAGTGTTTGGGTGTAATTCTGAGGACAGTGCAGAGGATTTGAAAGAGTTGGATGAGTCTAATGGTGATTTCGAAGGTACAGCAGCTCGGAAAACTCACACTGATCGTTCTGATAAGAAAAGAACTCCAGAATTTGTTAGTGAAGGCCTAAGACCGAACACGGAGACCTACATTAAGTACTTTGAGGAGGTAGCGCTGTCATGGGTCAAGAGGATGGCTATTGGAAGACCCTATATCTGGTACAGGACTCTGCACCATGCCACACAAACAGGAAAATCCAGTCATGGCTGCCTAACAATTTCTGCGACCACATCACCTCTTACATCTGGCCACCTAACTCTCCAGACTGCAAGCCCCCTTGATTATCATGTGTGGGGCGCAGTTGAGGGAGAGAACATGAAAATTCCTTGTAACACCAAAGATAAACTGAACATAAGGATTATGGCAACATTCACCAACTTAAATAAGGAGACCGTCCAGAAGAGTTGCAGGAGATTCCGAAGTCGTCTGGAGACCGTGGTTGAAGCCAATGGCGATTTTATTGAATAAATTTTCTGTTTAGCATTTCAATATATTTTTGTGTAATCTTGGTAAATATATCTGTTAAAAGATGTCTGTGTTATTTTCATTTGGGCGTAATTAAGACGACAATTTATCCATCGCACCCCTCTTATAGTTATTGCTACAATATTTATTTTTTTAAATGGATACACGCCCTATTTCCAATATGCCGAGTTATCCCAGTTTAATCAGCTATTTGTTCGTTTTTCGCATACGTACCGTTCACACTTTTGTGGCCAGCCGCTGTGCCATGAACGAAACAAAGCCAAATTTACTGAAAACTAATATACACTCCTAGTCAGCGTATCCATATATTTATTCAATGTGAAAGAGAGTTGATATAAAAAGCGAAATAACTCTGGAAATCAAACAATATAAGTGTTATCATTGTCAGCGACTTTTATGTCGTCATCGTATTTCAACAAAAATAGTAGTACCAACTGGTAATATTAAATGCTGTAATATAAGGTAAAAGGACATGAGGCGCTCTTAAAATATCTATCTATCTATCTATCTATCTATCTATCTATCTATATATATATATATATATATATATATATATATGTAAGTGTGAATATAAACTAAATAACGAGATATTAGCAACTCACTTTATATACGATAGCGTGCATACGCAGATAAACAAAGAAATATTTATTTAATTCAAATTATGGTGTAGACAAAATTTGCTCAATGTAGTTAAACAGAGCTATGAAGTATATATGAATAAATACACATATACCTACGTTTGTTGTACAACTTAAAGTTTCATGGTTTTCTAAGTCGTCAGGCACATATGGGGACTAAACCGCTTATTAGAGTTGTTTTTTTTTAAATACTGGGACTCGTGGAAGGAAATCTAAATTATACTAAGATTCAAAGCTCAAAGTTAATATAATGGGGTGTACATTCAAAATATAGAGTGTATGGGGGAAGATATTGGGAAAAACAAAGAAAAAAATGTTACAAGCTTAAAGTTTATATGATACAGTATTTTTTAAAACATCTGTAATAAGCGCTTCAATCGCCATATGTGCCTGACGAATTGGGAAACCATGAAACTTTAAGTTGCACTAAAAAGTAGGTGTATATGTATTTATTAATATATATATATATATATATATATATATATATATATATATATATATATGTATTTTGATAAATTAAGAGAGCTCCATGTCCCTTTACCATATATTACCGTATTTAATATTACCATATATATATATGTATGTATAATCAGGCAGCATATTTTCCTAATTTCAGACGCATTATATCTATTTATTTTAGTTTTAATCACTTCAAGTCTTTGAATTAATTTCTTGTTGGTTGTAGAAATTTGATTGAGAAAAATTCCAAAATTTTCTTTCAAATAAATTTTATTTTTCCAAAGACTTTCTATCACATTTGAGGCCATCTACAGGGGGTTAAAATATCAATGGATGTCGATACAGCAGCTTCGTAATTTCAAAATGGTTTTTCACTGTTGATTTACAGCGTTTCAAGTTCGAATATGCAAGGCGGGGGGGGGGAGTTATTTCGTGATTTTTATTTTAATATTTAAAAATGAAAAAGATTTTTAGTATTCTATTTATAATATTTCAATTTAGTATTTTATATAAAACTTTGCTGCTACAAACATTAAAGACCTCCGTTACTATACTCATACTGACTATTTAGTTTGGGCTGCAGTTATCTTATGTAAAGAGCTTCCAGAATTTTAAGTCTCTGATTATTATTATTTTGATGAAGTACTAATGTATTTTCAACTTCAAATGTTCTGAAATTGAACTATGCTTATTCTAATAAATTATTTACTAAAATAAATAGGCATAGTACGTCAAAATTATTTAACAAAACAGGTTGAATATATATATATATATATATATATATATATATATATATATATATATATATATATATATAGAGAGAGAGAGAGAGAGAGAGAGAGAGAGAGTGGTAGTCGTTTGGAAAAACCTTGGATATTTCGACTTGTAGTAGAACAAACCAGTACCCAAGGAAAATTGAGGAAAAAAAGCATATCCAAATGTAAACAAGAGAGATTCATGGAAGATTGTAGTTTAAAGAAAGTAAATTCGACCTTGCTAACCGAACGCTCCTTTGTGGCCGAAACGGTTAAGCCACGTCAGGCTATATGACGGTTCTGTATAGGATGCAGGTTCGATTCCTGTCGGAGGTCGAAAATTATCTTTGAAAATTTCTCGGACATTCAGGCCGGAAAATGTTGTTTAATACTGTTTATTATAAAACAGAGCATTTACTTAAATATTTGTATCTATAAAAAGAATGTATAAACATAAAAATGTCTTATATATATATATATATATATATATATATATATATATATATATATCTGTGTGTGTGAGTGTGTGTGGGTGTGTATTTCCGCGCATTGTATCTATAAAAAGAATGTAAACATAAAAGTGTCTTAAAATAATTGTCGGACTTTATCCATTTCATAATATATATATATATATATATATATATATATATATATGTATGCATTGTATTCAGTAAGATATGTTATTTATTGGCAGTTGCTTAATTTTGTAACATGCGATGTTACAACGCTACAGTTATAATTTAACTATTTAAAGTGAGAAGTTGTATGAATTTAGTAATGTGGTAAATCCACGAATTTTTTGTTGTATATGTTTTTCAGTTAAAGTGACATAGACTAAAAGTGTAGTCCAAAAAATAGAGTAAAATGTCTTACTATCTATTTTCCTTCACAGAATTTTGCATGCCCTGCATCAATATATATATATATATATATATATATATATATATATATAATAAAGAGGTAATTATACAAAGAGTTAATTGGCAATGTTAATGTAATTAATAGAGGAATCTCTTCACTAACAAGATTTAATAAAGCATTAACTTACAAATAATTCATTGAATAATGCGATACTTATGTTTAAATTGTTGTCAGATTAGATGTTGCGAGGCTGAATATTTACGAAAATTTCGCATATTCATCCTCAGGGCATAATTTTTCCATTTCGTGTAAACTCTAAAAGATGTCTTTTTAAAAATATGTTATTTATTGTCAGTTACATAATTTTGGAAAGTGCGGTGTCGCAACTCTAGAGGTATCAATCAAATATATCAAGTGAGAATTTTTGTATGAATTTTGTAATATGGCAAATCCACGAGTTGTATGTATTTATCAGTTACAGTGTCATGGACTAAACGTATAGTCCAAGTAATAGAGTAAAATGTCTTAGTAGTTTTTTCCTTTAAAGATTTTCATATATATATATATATATATATATATATATATATATATATGTATATATATATATATATATATATATATATATATATATATATATATATATATATGTATATATATATATATATATATGTATTGGCTTTTTAAATATATATTATACTTTATTTTTCCTATTTTTCGTATAATAACCACTCTTTTGCCTGATCAAGGTTGTGAGACCGGAAACACGTCTAGCAAAAATATTGAAAATAAAGAATAATATATATATATATATATATATATATATTGAAAAAATCAACATTACAACAAAAAATCGTTTGCGGTTTCTCTCTTCTTTATTCTTTATAAAACATACACTTTTCTCTCGTTGGAACAACTATAACGTCTTCCCTATATATATATATATATATATATATATATATATATATATATATATATATATATATATAATTATAGATAACTAGACTCGTTTTGAAAACCCTCGAATTTTTTTATTTGCTAATAATCAAATCAATCTCGAGGGAAAAAAAGGTTTTAAAAAGAAAGAGCTACAAACATGAACTTCTGCCGACAAAAAAATCGCACAGATGCAGGTCTGAAGCCCAAAGAAAAAACCCTGATACGAGTAAACAACTAACAAAAGCGCTCAATACAACCGTAGAGCAGACTTAGACCTAGTTCCAGACAAACCTGTTTAGTTTTAAACGGATCGTCAGAGAAAGGTAAGGCTTACTTTCCCTGACGATCCGTTTAGGTGAAACCTAGGTAGGTTTGTCTGGCTCACTAGGTATATCTATCTATCTATCTATCTATCTATCTATCTATCTATCTATATATATATATATATATATATAAGTTACGAAGAACTTGGTAAACCGAATGGGTAATTCCAAGGAGGCTGAAATCCTGAGAGCTCAATGTGAATCCAGAGCTAATATTTAATGAAAAACAGACCACTTTAAGGTACCATTACTATAATTTATTTCAGTTTATTTCGTTGTTGGAAGTGTTACCTGATGATCCGGAGTCCTTCAAAAAGGATTTTGGTGAAATAAATTATTGTAATGGTACCTTAAAATGGTCTGTTTTTTCATTATATATATATATATATATATATATATATATATATGTAAAGAATTAATGGAATTTATTTTTTAATCTGATATATTTTTCTTACTTCAAATGTTATTTTTAGTGGATACCCTTGTTTGAATAAAAAGCTTCTTTTATTTATTAAACAGCATTTATTTTCCTTTACTGGTCGAGAAAAGATCACTTATTTTATTAAGTTTCTTCGTTTGTTTGTAGGCCGTAGAAAAAACATTCTGTTTATAATAAACATAGCATCTACTCAAATTCGGTTATCCACTAAATATGTATATCGTGTTAAATTAATTTATTTCTTTATAATAAAAGTTATTTTCAGTAGATACACGTATTTGAATTGATATTTGTGTTTTTTTTTTCAAATTTCATAAATAACAAACGGAGTAGATTGAGAAGAAAATTAACGAAAATTTGCACATCTGATAGGAAACTTGTATCCACCTTTTTCATCAGAAAGACTGTTTCTATAGTCGTAACGTGCCTTTATCAATTCGCCCACGGAGACTGCGTTAATAGAGCAAGATTTGTATTGTGGGGCTCGCCCCTTGTACACAAGATGGACTCGTCCAAAGTATACTTGTACTACGGAGAGATAGCGTGAGAAAAACGTCGAGACAGGGTGTTCACTCAGAGAGTCCAGAAATAGAAATAATTACGGCTTCACTTACAGAGACTTGTACATATACTTTTCTACTAACCCGCATTCCTGGACTACTAATCTTCATTTCAAGTTTTTATTCTTACGTTTCATACACATATTTTTCTATTTCAATTACTGGCGTTGTTTATTTGTTTGTGCAGGATTCCATCCCCGAAATCCACAACAATTTGAATTACGTATTTAAGGAATGCCCAATTTTTCTCATTTGCACTTCTTCTTCTTTATGTACCGTGTTCCTTCAGGGCGTAGGGGATAATGACCCTTGACCTCTTACTGTCCTTTGTAGCTCATAATAAATTTTGTCTTTTTGCTATTTCACCTAAATTTTGTTCTACCATGCAGTTACTGAAGTTCATCAAGTATGTTACGCGCTGTTTTCCTCTGTACCTCTTGCCTTCAATCTGTCCTGTGAGTATCAAATTTTCCAAGCCTTCCTTCCTCATTACGTGCCGCGGAAATATCAACTGCCTCTTCCTGAAGTTTAGTATTAGTTTACTTTTTTTACCATTTTTGCTCACGTTTTTGGTCCATTTTTCTGCAGAACCATATTTCTGTTGCTTCGAGTCTCTTCTTCATCTTTGAGAATATTGTCCAGCATTCGCTGTCATACAGGAGGACGTATCAGTCCAGTAGTTTTTTCTTTGTTTCCAGCTAAATTTTCCTGTCTCTTAATACTCTGCTTAGCTTTTGGAATGCATCTTTGGCCATCTCAATACGTCTTTGGATCTCAGTGTCTATGAGGAGATTGTCCAGCATTCACTGCTATACAGAAGGACAGATATCACGTAACAGTTATGTAGTACTGTTTTCTTTGTTTCCAATGAAACTTTCCTGTCTCCTAATGCTCTGCTTAACATTTGGAACGTGTCTTTGGCCCTCCCAATACGTTTTTGGGTCTCAGTGTCGCACTTTCAGTCCCCTGTTAGAATACATCTGTCCTCCTTTACGGCAGATAATGTTGGACAGTCTCCTCAAAGATGAGTCCCTCAAGGCAACGGAGGTATGTTTCTAGAGAAGAATGCTAAGGATACCATGAACCAAGCGTGTGAGGAACGATGAGGCTTTGAAGAGGATTCGAACAAGGAGTAAGCTTATACTTAATATCAGGAAGAGGCAGCTGAAATTTCTGGGACACGTAATGAGAAAGGGGGGCTCGGAGAATTTGATACTCACAGGACGAATAGAACGAAAGAGAGACAAGGGAAAACAATGTATGACATACCAAACAGGCTTAAGCAAGTGGATGACAGAACATGGCCTGGGGGAGGTGACAGAGGGACGAAAATTACTGAGCGCTACAAGGGATAGGGGGAAGTGGAGAGCCATGATCGCTTACGTCCTGAAGGGACATGGCACATACAGGTCGAATAGAGGGAAAGAGAGACAAAGGAAAGCAACGCATGACATACCTAGCGGGATTAAGCAAGTGGATGACAGAACGTGATCTGCGAGAGGTGGCAGAGAGACGAAACTTATTGGAAGCTACAAGGGATAGGAGGAAGTGGAGAGCCATGATCGCCCACGTCCTGAACGGACACGTCACATAAAGGTCGAATAGAGGGAAAGAGAGACAAGGGAAATCAATGCATGACATACCTAGCGGGCTTAAGCATGTAGATGACAGAACATGGCCTGGGGGAAGTGGCAAAGGGGCAAAATTTATTGAGAGCTACAAGGGATAGGAGGAAGTGGAGCGCCATGATCGCCTACGTCCTGAACGGACACGGCACGCAAAAGGAAAGAAAGACCCCTGTTGCAATTCTTATTGGCTTCATTATATTCACTTAATCGCAAATACTCTTTAGAAAGGTATGGATCCATTATTTCCCCTAGCTATGGGTTAATTAGTAAGACATATCACTAAACTATTTTCTCTCTCCCCGCAGAAAATCTTCCAATCTGAAAATATTTTCTGGCTTTAATTAACCAGGTTTTCAAGCAGTAAAAAACGAATATAAAACGTTTTTTTTTTTTTTTTGATCACTACAAAACGTTTTGTTGGCGGTGGGTGGGGCTTTCTCTACTTAAACTCAGATTCAAGAGTTTGTAGAAAACCTTTTGACATCAAAAGCTGCGGAATTTATTTGACTCTTTTGAGTAAAATAAATTTAGTAATCTTGGTGCTGCTTGACGAGAAGCAAAAAGTTATTGTAAGTCATGTGGAATATATCACTGAATAAAATGTCATAGCATTTTATTTTTTTTTTTTTTTTAAAGATTAAAGTTGATAAATAAAACCGGAAATTACTTATGACTCGACCCAAAATGTCCTCCATATATCGAAACAGTATTGTATCGGAAGAAAATTGGAAATCTTTTACAATGATGCTTGGAGTATTTGTAATTTATATTTTATTCTCGAAAGCAATGCCAAAGAGAAACAAAAATAAAAAAAATACCCATAATACGAGGAAGCAAAATAAAGAAAATATATTTAGACTCAAAGATCAGAAAGATGAGCAAAACCCACCATTATATATATATATATATATATATATATATATATATATATATATATATGAAGAAAAATACAGAAAAAACAAACAAACATTTTTTTTCATACTGTCGGATCTATATCCATATATTTGCTTATATATATATATATATATATATATATATATATATATATATATATATATATATATATATATATAAAACGGTTTGAATAGTTTCTTTATTCGTTTTACCTTTTGTGAAATGATCAATAAAGGTAGATATTATGTATAAAGAGAGATTTTCGATGTTATTTTAAAGCTTGGAATACCAAGAAAGGGTCTGAGGTTATTTGGTGCAGACGAGCGAAAGGACATTTCAAAATGGTTAGTGAGCCGAACAAAGAAAGAGAGTAGCAGGAATCGTTTTTGGACGAATCATCTATAATTTGGGGCCAATAATTTTCTCAGTTGAATTTACAATGGTCTATTATAGACATCTCATATTTCCTTTATAGGATCGATATCTATCTATCTATCTATCTATCTATCTATCTATCTATCTATCTATCTATCTATCTATCTATCTGAGGGCTTACGGCGATATCACATTGAAGTAACTGTTCTCGTCCGATCACCGAAGTTAACGTTGAACCTGGCTTGTACCTAGATGGGTGACCCCTGGGGAATACCAGGTGCTGTAAGCTTGGTTATACGAGTGTCGTAAGGAAAAAAGGCACGATCACGTGACCATGTCACTTTCAATTATAAGCACGCATGAGTAGAAAGCAGTGTGATAAATCTAGAGGTATGTTATGGCGAAACAGCGACTAATTTTTGGCTTACCTAGTACACACACACACACACACACACACACACACACACACACACCACACGCATATATATTTGTGTATTTAGGCAACAATCCTTCTTTCATGCACATTTCATTGAATACGACAGACAAGGTGCTTTTATTTAGTTTTTTTATACAATTTCTCATGCAATCTAATAATTTTTTTCTTTTCAGATGATAAATTATATAAAAACTGTCCGAATGTTCTTTTTATCCAAACGCTTTCGGCTATAAATTTAGCCATTTTCAAGAATAATATTTTAACTTTTAAAATAAGAAATAGTTTGTTGTATGTATGTTTTATAAAATGTTTTCATTTTTCAAAACACGGTCAAGATATTATGTCCATGTTCAAAGTTAATATTATTAAGTGTTGTTTTTTGTTTTTCATTAATAAGGCTTCCATTATTTTTAGACATTTTTGCATGTAGATGAGGCTATTATATTAGTGTTGTCAACAAGTATGTTACGAATAGTGTCTGGTAGGTCTCCATGAATATTTAAATGAGATCTAATTGAGCTATGGTCAGAAAGGTGTAGAGTGAGTTTGCGTGTCAAACATGTTGTAGTGTGGCCTATATAATTATTTACGAATTTTGTTTGATCAGGAATACAATTCCTTAATGCGCATTTATAAAACACACATACAATAGACTATTTCTTATGTAACAATTAAAATATTTAATCTTTGAAAATGGGTAAATGTATAGCCGAAAGCGTTCGGATAAAAAGAACATTCGGACAGTTTTTAAATAATTTATCACCCGAAAAGAAAAAAAAATTATTAGATCGCATGAGAAATTGTAACTAAAAACTAAGTAAAAGTGCCTTGTCTGTCGTATTAATTGAAATGTATATATATATATATATTACATTAATTGCACAACTCCGAGTTTCATTCCGAAGCAATTTTCAAGTATATTAAATAGCTCTGTTACTTAACATTGACCACTTTTTTTTTCTTACACTATTGCGTATTTATATGCATTTGTATACGATGACTCGTATGCCTACCTATATTTACCCATTTGATTATATATATATATATATATATATATATATATATATTCTTTATTTGTATAGATACAAACATTTAAGTCAATGCTCTATTGATAATAAACAGTATTAACAACATTTACTGGCCTGAATGTCCGAGAAATCTCATAGAAGATATGTGTCCTCTGACAGAAATCGAACCTGTATCCTACACGGAACCGTCATATAGCCTAACGTCTATATCGTTTAGCTACAGAGGAAGCGTCTGGTTAGCAAGGTTAAATTATTGTTTTAAACTACAAACTTCCCATTATTTCTCTCGAATGCTCATATCTGCTCGAAGCGTATCTTAATTTCAACAAATGACATTATATATTATGAAATGGACTAATTAAAATAATTGTCAGACTTAGTCTATTTCATTATATATATATATATATATATATATATATATATATATATATATATATATAAATTCATGAATCATTCATACAATAAAACAAATTGAGAGGTTAATGATTTAAATGGTGAGAATACATCTTCGCAAACAACATCAAAAAGATACACCAACCCCGAACCTGTATATGATCCCTGTTTATAAATTCCAGTTTCATAAGGTCTAATTAGTTTTTACAAGCTTTCGTCTGTTCCTACAGACATCCTCAGGTATGGAAATAGATTTGTTCTTGTTTTTTACTTCTCGGTAATAAGAGGACAACGAAAATAGAGATGTAATCCGAAAAAAATGTTTTTAGAAATGTGTTGTTTTGGAACGTGCGGTCAACGCTGAGTTTGAATTTTAAATTTTAAGGTTGTCCAAAACAATAACACATTTCTCATAGCATTTTTCGGATTACATCTCTATTTCAGAAGTTCATACACGGATGTCCTCAAGGACTCATGGCACAGTGGATAAAGACGTTGGTTAGATCAGTGACAGGACCCGAGTGAGTTCAATACCCGGTTAAGGCAGTGGAGAACTTTCAGAGGGAAATAAACAGGAGATAACTGATAATTGACATCCATTAAACATGGCACGTGGAACTAGAACAGTCTACGCCAGTCAGCGAAATGAAGGGTTAAGTTCGACATTCCAACCACATGAAGAAGGCCAGAACGTCCGAAACGTTGTAATAAATATGGAGACAAAGATGGGGACAATGGTCCAAATAATGTATTAATCTGAATCCTCTTCAACTGTGTTTTGACAGTCAAGGCAATGAATAACAAAATTGCTGGGATCTTTACATACGTTTTTTCCACCGTTATTACAGATAGTCATTATTTTGTGGTGTCCTTCCCCTAAGAGTCTATGTTAGACTCTACCGCCTACTATAAGTTTAGTAAGAGAGAAGGAACAGGGTACAGTGAATAGATCGAGTGTTGGTTCATTCGATACACTCTCACTAGTCGTTTAATACTCTTCTGTTATACTTACTGTTTAATGTACAACATATCTGCAAACCTGGTTTTTGTTATTACTTGACCATTCACAACACTTTATTTTATAGTCTCGTGCTTGTAATTCCCACACGAACAACTTCCATGAAACTATATACAGAAAAGTCAGAGGGACTCTCCGCTACAGCGGTGGGAAAGCGACTATAGTTTAGGACCTATAACATTACTGATCTTTCTTTGATTTTTGGCGAGAATATCGAGATATACAACCGGCAACAATATTCAATGCACGGACGAATAGTAGATTAATAAATGTGCAAGATAAGTTTCCTGACACGATAAAATGAGCCAACCATCTCAGCAGCAGACCTAGCATCATGTCAGTAGGAAAATGTGAGTCTAGTAAGATGCAATCAGTTGGTCACCTGGAGGTTAGCTTTAGCGATAGAGAGGGAAAATGGTTCTCTATGACGTGTTAAAATTCTTCTTAACAATATCTTAAATCCCAACGCCTTCGTGCAAAATTGAGCCAACTAAAATAATAAAAAACGCCATCTTTTATTAATAATTTTCTTGTTGCATCTCAATTATTGCTTCAATTTAAATGAATATTTCTGGATTGTTGCCTTATTGAAGCACTCTCTGATTCGCAGCTTTTGTCGGCCATGTTTTTGATTGCTATGTCAGCCATTTTGATTACTAACATGGAGTCAGTTAACAATTAAAAAAGTTGAAATGATTTGTTCAGATTCTAATTGCCTTGTGCGTATAATGATTTCGCAGACCGAAAACGTTTCTTTACGATACTTTACCTTCATCTTCATTTTAAGTTATCAATAGAAAAAACTGCGAAACGTCCTCTCCATTACACTTGCTTTAAGCTTTCTTCACAAATTCTCAATTGACCACTGGAAAACATTGACATCATTATACACGAAATATTTCTTGGCCAACTTGGATACAACTTTTGGGTCATTATCTTGGTCCACCGATGCAACATTCCAAGAAGGCCCCGAGAGTTTAAAACTCACAAGACAGATTGAAAGAAAGAAAAGCAAAGAAAGGCCGCCGATAAAAAGTTTGCACGAATTAATGGAGGAACAAGGGTTGCGAGGGCTTGCGGCTATATCACGTTGAAACACCGGTTCCCGTACGATTACCTAAGTTAAGCAACTCCGAGGCTGGTCAGTATCTATATGGGTGACCAACTGGGTATACCAGGTGAAGTAAGATTGAATCTGCTATGGGTTAATTAGTAAGGCTCGCATCACTAAACCATTCTTATCTCAAAATAAATAAAAAACTTGAGCCTAGTAAGAACCGGCCGCTGAGGAATAATTTGCGCAGTAAGTTTGGAAGCGCGGGTGGTGTAATGGATAATGGCTCGGAATTGTTAATCGGAGAGCCGAGTTCCAATTTCAGTTGGATTCGTTATATTCACTTACTTGCAAATGCCCTTCGGAAAGGTAGGAAACCACCTTTTGTCTCCCTCCGCTATGGGTCAATTAGTAAAACTTGTATCACTAAAATCATTATTTTTTCTAAAAACAAAAATTAAAAAAAAGAAAATTTCTTACAATCTAAAAAAATATTTTCTGGCTTTAAATAGCCTGAAAAGTGTTGATAAACCGTAAAAAAACGAATCAGTCAATCAAGTGCCGTGAAGAGAAAGAAAAAGCATAAGGGAGAGCAACAAAAAAGAAAATGTGGAGGGCCATGACTACCAAAGACTTGAAGGGGCGCGACACACAGTGAGAGGTTTGTAATAATCCCTAATTTTAGAAGATTGGTGAAATAAGATATTTTATCTTGATTTTCTCATCTGTTTTATTAAAAGAAAGCTTAGTAAACACATACACACAAATACATACATACGTGTGTGTGTGTATATATATATATATATATATATATATATATATATATATATAAATTAAAATTTGTAAAATGTGATTCCAGCTGCTAAGAAAACCATTGTAAAACGTCTAAAACAAGCCCAGGTTTCTGTGACAGCAGAAACTAAACTCCAGAATTTCTTTTCAACAGTCGTTTCGCGATTGGAATAAAATACAATTAAAAAAATAATTAAAAATCGTTTGATTTAATTCTTATTTCCCGCCATTTTTTTTTTTTATTTTTTAATTTTTTGTTCTTTCTCTGCTTCGGTATTTATTCGCTTTTTTTTTTTCTTTTTTTTTTTTTTCATTTCTCCGACTTCGTCTTTGTATCTGTCTTCTTTTCTTGCTTTTTTTTCTTCTTTCTTTCATTCTTTGCTCGTTTTACCATTTCTTTATTTTCTTCTTTATTCTTTGTTTTCGATTTGATTTCTTTTCATTATCTTCTTTTAATTTGTATATTTCTCCTCATATGGAATATCTTTCTTTCTTTCTTTCTTTCTTTCTTTCTTTCTTTCTTTCTTTCAGTCCACGTTCGTCTTTATCTATTTTTTTCTTTCTTTTTCTTTCTTTTTCTTTTTCTTTTTCTTTTTCAGTCCACGTTCGTTTCATTACATTTCTTTCTTTCTTTTAATGTTTCTTTCTTTCCCCCTTTACTCTCGCTCCATTTCTTTCTTTCTTTCTTTCTTTCTTTCTTTCTTTCTTTCTTTCTTTCTTTCTTTCTTTCTTTCAGTCCCCGTTCGTTTCATTACATTTCTTTTTTCTTTTAATGTTTTTTCTTTCCCTTTACTCTCCATTTCATTTCTTTCTTTCTTTCTTTCTTTCTTTCTTTCTTTCTTTCTTTCTTTCTTTCAGTCCCCGTTCGTTTCATTACATTTCTTTCTTTCTTTTAATGTTTCTTTCTTTCCCCCTTTACTCTCGCTCCATTTCTTTCTTTCTTTCTTTCTTTTCTTTTTTTTTTTTTTTCTTTCTTTCTTTTCTTTCTTTCTTTCTTTTTTCAGTCCCCGTTCGTTTCATTACATTTCTTTCTTTCTTTTAATGTTTCTTTCTTTCCCCCTTTACTCTCGCTCCATTTCTTTCTTTCTTTCTTTCTTTCTTTCTTTCTTTCTTTCTTTCTTTCTTTCTTTCTTGTCTTTATATTTTAACTCTTACCGTCTTTTTACCTATTTCTTCTTCCTTTTCAGTCGTTATTCTTTAGTCTCTTCTTCTTTCTTTATATTCATTTTTTCTTTCTTTTTTTTCAGATACTTCTGCTATCAAATGTTTGTTTTAATTTATCCTACCAGTTTTTTTTTCCATATTTTTCGCTTAAATCTGTCTTTCGTAAATTCAACCCTATTTCTTTTTTACACTCCACTTTTCATTTTTTTTCTGGGTTTTCTTTCGTTTTTTTTTTCTTTCAGCTTCTGATGACATTTTTTAAGTAAATGTCACTTTATTTCTTTTACGCACTTTTTTGTTCCCGCTTTTATTTTATTCAATCAACAGAACATCCGCGCTTTTTTTTCTAATCTTATTTTTGCTTTCTTTATCATCACTGGTAAATCATCGCAGCTGACTTTTGGACTCGTCGGCGAATCAAATGCATATTAAAGAATTTCCTGTGAGTTCCAGGACTGGATTTGGCATTATTCACAAAACAACCACCCATTTGCACAAGAAATTAGACTGATACACCATCTCTTTCATAAGCGTACAGACAAAAAGAGAGAATTTTAACACGTGAGCATGCGCAAAAGATTCACATTTTTTCGGTCATACATCTAACAACGTATATCAATATTACAGGCAAGGTTATTTTCGGGTAAAGTAAGAAAGTATGAGACACACCTAATCAGGAACGAACTCTCTGTTCTGCGCAAGTCACTTCGGTAAAAACAGTTTTGCGAAGCATTTATTTGTTTCTTTATCAAGCGAATTCTCTCTCTATAAATATATAAAGACATTTTTATGTTTATACATTCTTTTTATAGATACAAATATTTAAGTAAATACCCTGTTTTATAATAAACAGTATTAAACCGGCCTGAATGTCCGAGAAATCTTCATAGAAAATTTTCGTCTTCCCATTAGTAATCGAACCTGTATCCTATACGGAACCGTCATATAGCCTGACGTGCCTTAACCGATTGAGCCACAGAGGATCTTTCGATTTGCAAGGTCGATTTTACTGCTTTTAAACTTCAATCTTCCATGAATCTCTCATGTACATTCATATCTGCTCAAAGCGTAGCCAAATGTAAACAAATGACGTCACACATTATGAAATGGACAAAGTCCGACAATTATTTTAAATGTGTAACGTCATTTGTTTACATTTGATACGCCATAAGGAGATATGAATGTACGGGAGGGATCCATGGAAGATTGTAGTTTAAAGACAGTAAAATTGACCTTGCTAACTGAACGCTCCTCTGTGGCCGAGGAAGCCTTTATAAATTCCAACCGGCAGAAGTACTGATTATGGTCTTCTAAAATCCCGGTATTATATATAGGTTTCTAAAAAACAACCAGTATTATGTATGGGTTTCTAAAGCAACAATATAAATTATAGTTTTCTGTGTCCCTTCAAGGCATGATCAGTCATAGCTCTCCACAACTTCCTTTCCATCATAACTCTTAGCAAAGTTTGCCAAGCCTCCTGTCCCCAGTTCTACTATCTATTCACACAAATTCGTCAGGTAGGTGGCTCGCTGCCTTCCCAGGTCGTCGTTGTTCCCGATATGCCCCGTGAGTGTCAAATTCTTCAAGCCTTCCTTCCTCGTTATGCGTTCAAAAAATCAGCTATCTCTTTGTTTCCATTTTCCTTAAGATTTTCTCGTTGCTTACTCGCTCCTTCCATGGAATTCTCAGCATCCTTCTGCGGAACCACATTTCTGTTGTCGCCATCTTTCCCTTCATCTTTCAGGAGATTGTCCAGCAGTTACTGCCATAGAAGAGGATTGTTATTAAATAAACAGGTCAGCAATCTTGTCTGGGTTTCTAACGAAATTTCCCTGTTTCTTCATACTTTGCTTAGCTTTTGGAAGGCATCTTTCGCTACGCCAAGAGTTTTGTTTCTCTAACTGATTCGAAGGAAAATTGATGCATTTTTAATTTTAATTTTTAAAACATGTTATTCGTTTTCTGTGGCTTACGGCAATTTCACGTTGAAACACCAGATTCTTTACTGAAGTTAAGCAACGCTGAACCTGGGCAGTATCTAGATGGGTGACCGCCTGGGCATAACAGGTACTGTAAGTCTGGATGTGAGGGTGGTGTAAGGGATAATGGCTTGGAAATTTTATTCAGATAGCCGAATTCCAAATGGGTTTGCTATATTCTCTTACTTGCAAATAACTTTGGGAAAGGTATGAATCCACCAATTCTCCACCCAGCTATGGGTTAATTAGTAAGACTGGCATCACTAAACCATTACTATCTAAAAAAAAAGTTTATAAACTAAAATTATTTCCTGGCTTTAAATAACCCGGAAAAAGGTTGACAAATTTTAAAAACAATGAATCAATCAAATCTATTTCAGTTTAAAAAGATTTTTATGTCTAAAGTGATGTCTTATAAAATTTGCTGACGCGTCTCCATTATTACACAAAGAGAAAAATGAATTTATTTATTTGAAGAGGAATGGATATTGGATTTTGTTCTTAATCTAAAAAAAAAAGAAAAAAGAAAAAAAATGAAAATTGTTGAAAAAAGAGGATTTTTCACTGCATTATTAAAATTTTACATTTACTCACTTTGTTTGAATCAAAAAAATCGATATTTAATTAACATTTCTTTGGTCATGTCCACTTGAAAACATGGCATATTTCTTAAAACACACACACACACGCACAAAGACACACGCACAAAGACACAAACACACAAAATAAACTGCATCAATCATTTATAAATTTTGCGCAAGGTTAAATTTTCTGCGTGTGTTCACACCTTACATCAACGGAACAAAAAAGCACGCCCGTAACGCTAATAGCATTTACTCATACCCTCACTCCACGTTGGAGGAATATGACAAATATATATATATATATATATATATATATATATATATATATATATATATATATATATATATTAACGTGGGATGTCTAATTGTGTACACATGTACCTAGGACAAAAATTGCCAATTTCCTGTGACCACTGTTATGCTGTTCTTGATATTTCACCAACCATCCCTCTTTAGTGCAATGGGGGAGTTACCGCAACGGATGTTGGAATCCCCGGGGCCAGGCAGCCCTCAAAGTTTTCCGTGAACTCTCCGATCATAGAAGCACAGTAGAAAGATAAAAAGCGGGTACTGCACTTTCATCCCAGCACGATTTTATGCATGGCCACTTTGTTAAACAAAGAAACACTTTCGATTCTGGTCAGATCTGATAAGGTAATTTAACGCCCCTCCCATCCTCAAAAACTCCCAATGCATTTCATTTACACACGGTCTTGTCTTTCATTCCAGCCCGATGAAGCCGAACCTAACACACATCGGCGAAATGTGTCGTTAAAAATAT